GGTTTTGGTTGTTTTTTTTTTTTGTTTTTTGTTTTTTTCTGGTAGCCTTGCTTTTCTTCAGAAGCATTTCAAAAATGAGGGAAAGCTTCCTTGATTCAGACCAAATCCAAGATGCAGCGTTTCACCATCATCTTACTGGAAATGAACCTAAACTGTCTCCAAGCGTACTCATTGGATAAGAGGACAGGTACATGTTTAAAATGGTGAGTAATTCTGTGAGTCCAGGTACGGCCTCGCTGGTGCAGAGCACTTGCAAGGGTTACCGAGCCGCATGTCATCAACATTGCCAAGGCCATGGCAGGGGGTACTTCTTCTCCCCATCCTTGCCCTGCCCAAAATGCCCGAGTGCGGTTCAATCCTTACTGCTTGCAGAGTGTGCCTGCTGCGTTTGCAAGGGAAATGTTTGCTTTTGTTCTGACTTGGTCGTTTTTTCCTGTGTTACTTTAACACAGCAGTAGTTTTAAACTGGTGCCCAGTGAAGCTCCTGCTGGGGTAATGCCTACTGCTGGGTCAGGGTCCTCTCCCCTGAGAGCTCTTTACCCTTTGCCCACCAACAGTTTATTAGGGATTTTGTTTTTTTTTTTCAGGTCAGTCATAAAACTGAATAGCAGCTTCATCCTAGCACTAACTGGTCAAATAATCCAGCTCCTGCTGTTTCCAGTACTTGCATATTCCCCCAGCCCTGCCTGTTTGTCCTGGTGATGTCCCTTCAGAGGACCGTCCCCTGCCTGCACTGCCTTACCTCAGCCTGAGCACATGCTCGGGAGAAATAAAAGATACTGGCTGTGAAGGCCAAGCTGATGAGCAAATGTCCAAGGTGAAGCGCCCTGGGGAGAGGTCCCATGAGTGCAAGGCCAGTTCCCAGAGGATGCTGCCATGGGCTGTGCTGCAAAACTGGGCAGTGGGACTGGAGCCCTGATGGGCCAGTGGCCTCCAAGGAGGCCACCAAGGTTTAGCTCAGGAGCAAGTGTCCCTTTGAGCCGGGTCCTGTGGACCGCAGCTGGGTATCTCCAGGCCAACAGGCATGAGTGATCTCTTTGCTGTTAACCTTTAATGTTCGTAACAGGTTATGACACATGTGTGACAAGGTGCTTTAAAGCATAATGGAAGGTCTTCAGGTTTGTAAACCACAGGTCCTCTTTTTTAGTTATTATTTTTTTCCAAATTGAAGGTCTTGAGCTAGGCTGTGTGTTCAATTTCCTTTACTTTCCAGGTCATGTGGAGAAGCTTAGGCCCACAGTTTAATGAAGGGACTAAACTGATGTGGTGTGGTAGTACACCACACACACAGCACCGGAGCTGTGTTAGGAACTGCTTCAACAAACATTCAACTTCAAATTGTCTTGGAAATGATAATTGCATCCTCATCTGCTTTATTGTGCTTCTAGAAGCTGCTTAGGTACCAACTTGCACCAAAATACAAAGTTTCAGTGGGTAGATGAAGTATGATTTCTGTGCTGAAATATTGAAGAACCTCATGCAGGACGATGGGCAATTATGTAATTGCCTCATTGTATGCATGTGGACTGTTTGGGTTTTGCAGAAGATTTTAAAGTTGTGTTGAAGAGAAAAGGGGCTCTGTGAACTGTGCCTATATTAGATGTAATGTCACCAGTGTGCCAGCGAGAGCTGTGGTGGTTGCTGGCTTGGTTAGCAGGTGGTGAGCGAAGCATGGGGGACCGAGTTCCTCCTGCATGGAGATCGCGTTGACCCAGATCGGCGGTCCCTGGGTTCAGGTCTCTGTCAGTCACTCAAGTGTTTCTGCAGCTGTATGCACTGTCTTTGGAGGATTTGGGGAGACAAATGTAGTAGGGATGGCATGTTTGTGGGAGGAGGAGGAAGCCTATGGGCAAAGACACTGAGCTGCAGTAAGAGTCTAATCAGCACTGTCTTGTACCTTAGCATGAGGTAGGCTTCTGGCCACGTTGCACAACCCTGAAAAGCCTTTGGGGCAGTAATGCCCATGGCGAGCAGTAGGCAGTGGAAGGGCCTTCAGCACTGTCCCCAACCTAGATATCCCCAGGGCAAAGGGTGCAGGCCAGCATCTGTAGGATCAGCCGGCGTATGTGGGGCCAATCTGCTTCTCCCTGCACCCTGACCCAGGAGTGGGAGGGTTGAGAGGGTGGCAAGAGGGGCATCCAGGTCATCATACAAGATCTTGGTCTCCTGCTCTGAACCTTCTCTGCAAGGAGGGCCCAGGTAACCCACCTGGGTTGACGTGTAGGGCAGATGCCATAGGAAAACCAATTAAGTCCCTAGGGCTTTTGGAAAATGTGTCATCCAGCCTTTCTCATCCTGGTTTTGTTTTGGACGTGTCGCCCTGTGTTTTCTCCCACTGTCAGTCACTGTGGTCATCTTGGTGGGACCACAGGGAACGAGGGGGCTCAGCCTGTGCTGCTGAGCCCCCATCTGATGTCGCGCCTGGGTGCCCAGCAGGATTTATCTGCCAGAGCTCCCTAGGTCCTCCCAGAATGGTGTGGGGCAGGCAGGCCAGAGAGCTTTTTATTATTGTTATTAATTATTGTTACCATTGTTTTTTTGTTTTGTTTTTTTTTTTTTTTCAGCTTTTGTCAGACGCCCAAACGCTCTTAATGGAGATAGAGCCCGTTTATATGTTAATTTTAAGCCTGCTGACAAGCGGTTTGCTTTCCTCCTGGCTTCTCACAGTTCCTTTGCCCATTGAAAGCTGCTGCCGTGGGCTTAGGGGATAAGGTGTCAAGAATTAGAAAATAAAAATCTGCAGGATTCTGGAGAGTGAGGGGGTACAGGGATTGGCTTGCTCGAAGTGCAGACGGGTGATTTCTCAAAGCAAGTAACCCTGATACCAGGGGCGTGCATGACAATTACATCCAGTATAATGCAAAATGTTAATTACTGATTTTTGAGAAATTAATGCTGATTAGCAGCTGTGCGTGTGTGACCTAAATACATCTATTGCTCAATCTTTATTCGTAATATACAGTTTATTGTTGATAAAGTAATTGCTGAATGGTGGGCTGGCTCGCAAGTCTTGTAGCTAAAGACTGAGGCCTGATTTGTAAATCATATGAAATTTGTTGGCATCTGGTTTTTGTTGAATTTGTACAGAGAGGGAAGATGAATAGCAGTCTGAGCTATCCCCTTTACGACTCAACTCATAGATATTATTGAGAATTCATACTACTTTTATTATTTGGTCACAAAAATGGACCTAATGCTTGTTGGCTTTAAAACACCTACCACCGCTGCTTTCTCTCTCCATCTTGCAAAATATAAGACAAGGCCGAAGCTTAAATTAAAATCCTCAGGTTCTTATCTCTTTCCCACAGGAAAGCAAATCTGTGTTGAAAACCGTAAAATTAAGAGGAGAGCAAGGATAGCATAATTTAGCAAAAATTCATGGCACCAGATTCTGAGCTATATGACTGGAGGGATAGGTCAGACATTAAGAAGATACTGCCTGCTAATGCAAGTCCCTTAAGGTGGTGCTCTGGAAACAAGGCAAGCAGAAAATGCTGCACTGGTTCCCATTTGCTCCCTTTCCTCTACTCCTACCAGCCTTAACAATAAATTGAGTTGTCCATTTAATAACCCTTCTGCTTCCAGAAATCCAGAGAAATCCTGCGTTTGTACTTGGAGTATTGTCCTAACATCTGTTTGTGCCAGGATTTCAACAGTGAAAAGAGATGGATGAAAGATTTTCTCAAAGAAAATTAATTTAATTGGGCTCTTAAATTATTTTTCTTTTTCTTAATCCCTTATATTTGACAGGATGTCCTTGCTGAGTTTTATCAGCATTTCTGTCTGAAGGACGTCTTTTTCCCCCTGCCCCCCTGTTTGTTGTCTTTTGTTTGGTTTGTTTGGTTCGTTGTTTTTTTGTTGCTTTTTTTTTTTTTTTTTTTAATTTAATTTAAAAACTGTGCCGTAATTATTTTTGCTAAGGGGTAGGGTAGAGTGGCAGGGTACAAATGAGGAGTGCCTGTTACACACTGGCAACGCTACGGCTCGTCCTGCCATGGGAAGAGCAACTTGTGTTTCCATCAGTGTTAATATGGCAGCGTTTTGTCCGGACAGATGAGTCCCCATTGCCTTGCAGCCTTGATTCAAGAGTGGGATTTTGGGCAGTGTCCCTCCGTCGTGCCGAGTGCCCCCTCCCCTGCACCTCTGTGGGAAGCGCTGTTGGGAACTGGGCATCTTGGCCTGCATGGACATCGCCTTACGGCACCCACTGCGGGACCCTCTCGGGTGTTTGTAGCACTTTGATTTTTCTCCTTGGCATGACGTGAAGAGCAGCCTCCCAGTCACCCCCGGCAGTCAGCGGGTCTCCTCCCTGACTGACCCCACCCTGAGAGGCCACTGCTAGCCATTTCCCTACGGAATCAGGCTTTTAAGGGTGGTTTTTCAGTTACATGCTACACAGACCAAGAGATTTCAACCACAGTTTGTAAAACTGCAAGGGAAAAAACCCGCCGTACCCTCTGGCAACAGTGGGGGCTTTGGGCCATGCCACAGTCGTGCAGTAGAGTAATGGAGAGGAGTGGAGTCGATGAAGCTCATGTTGCTCTTAAGGCTGGAAGTGTGGCAAACCTGCACTTTAAACCTTTTTTTTTTTTTTTTTTTTTTTAAATTCTGTTTCCATAACTGAAGGCTTTCTTCAGAGCTGCTGCTGGCTCTGCCGTCCTTCGGTCGCAGCCCTTGGTGCGTGGTGCCTGGCTGCCCGGCATGGTGCTCCTCCTGCCCCACGGCTCTCTGGCTGCCGCTTTGCCGGCCCCGTCTCCGTGTCTCCCAAATTCCTTCACTCCTGCTCCCGGCCCCCACCCATTTCCGTGCATTTCCTCAATGCCAACATCCTTCCTTGGGCACCAGTGGTTCAAGGATGCTGATTCTGACAGCAAACCCGGTTGCCATCCACCAGTCCCCAATGTCGTGTCTGTCCATCCGTTCCCCCTGATCCAGTAATGCAAATATATAAAAACTGTGGGTTTTATACTACACAATTTAATTTTTTTCTTCTCTTGCAGTCAAACAAGGTGCCAGTGGTACAGCCTTCTCATGCGGTTCACCCCCTCACCCCTCTTATCACCTACAGCGATGAGCACTTTTCCCCGGGGTCGCACCCATCTCACATCCCCTCCGACGTCAGCTCCAAACAAGGTGAGCCTCTCCCGTCCCAGCGCAGTGGGGGATACAGAGTGGTCCCGGTGTCCCTGTGTTTCTGATAGAGCTTTATCTGTAATATTTTAGAGGGAGGGTTCCAGGGGTGCATGCCTGCTTTCAGACATGGTGATTCTGCCATGATGCTGATCTATAACGTGACGGTTTAAATCTTCATGCTCTTTCTAATGTGATAATTCGGGCTTGCTTTACTCGTCAAAATCTTTTAAAATCTCAATAAGCAGCAGCCAGTCCTCACCATCCCCTGCGGTGCCCGAGGCTTGCAGCATGCAGATGGAGAAATGGCAATCATCCTTCACCTTTCCAAAAAAGGGGGAGGAGTAGTTCAGTAATGGCGTTATTGAAACCATTTCTTTTTAATTTTTACTCCAAATTGTATTTTATGTCCTTGTATTCTGGCTTTCTGAACTCTTCTGTATGTCAGTTGGCATAACTGAAGCATAGCCCATAAAATACAGTTTTGAGCCTTCACAAGTTAAGGCTTTGCAGACATGACAATTTTTAACCGCGTGCCTGCTGCCTTCTTCATAAAGCATTGTTTTAGGGGTCTGACTCATGGGTGTCAGTTTTCTCTGCTCCCCTTAAAATGAAGAAAAAAAACCCCCCACACCCCCCCTCCCTCGCATCCTCACCTGGGACCATCAGACCAGCCCTGCTCCGGGTCAGTCTGTTGGCCCCCAGGGAAGCACCGACGACCTCCGAGGTGCCGAGCCCAGCCCGAACCCTGGGGAGGATGCGCTTGCTTGGCATTGGGATGCCGGGGCTTTGGGGGAAAATTATGGTTGGAGAGGTGCAAGGGGAGGACTGACCCTGGCTGGCACAGGTCTGAGCTGGGGTTTGGGTAAGCGCCAAGGAGGAGAAGCCTGCGTGGGAGAGCTAGTGGGGAGGAGGGAAGGAGAGGGAGCAGAGGGTTTACGAAGGCATTCGCGGGACGCCTGTGCATAGGCACGAAGGTTTTGGTGCCGGGACTGGTCCCAGAGGGTGCCAGAGACTCCTTTTAGTTCCGACTTTCCCTGAATGCCTAAGTTTTTATTTTGGCTTGCTACTCAGATGGGCTACATCCATGGGCTACATCCAGAAAATAACCATGGCCTTGTGGCTTTATGTGTTTTTTGCTGTTTGTTGGTTAGTTGGTTGGGGTTTGTTTTTTTTTAGGGAGAGGGAATACAAAAAGCACTCTGCCTAGAAAGCCTGGCCTGTAAATATATGTATAATATCTTTTCCAGAGTTGGAAGAAACAAATGGAGACCTCCTGTCCTCATTTGTCTTCCTCCTTTGCATCAGTGCCCAGGAGAAGGATATTCACACTCGTTCCTTGAAATCCCAGGGGTGCCATGTGTTAGAGAACAGGATTTCCACCTCTTGCCCAAGCTCGCTGCGACAGCTGGGGCACATCCTGCTGCTGCAGTTCATGAGCTCAAGAGGTTTTCACTTACTGCATGATGGTTTTGCCTTTCCTGCACCCCAATTCTTTACCTTTACTGCTGGTTTATTTTTGTTCTCCTGTCCAGCAGACCCCAACTGAACAACATCTGGTTTGTTGTTTCTGCTTCCCATCCTTCCTTCTGCCTCTTCTTGCCCTCTCCCATGTCTGGTCCCGGTGGCCAGGGGCACCTCTGGCGCAGAGCTCCTGCCCCTCCAGTGTTCCTGAATGGGCTCTCGATCCCTTTGCTCAGTGTCTGGCGAAGATGGGGATGGGTAACATGGGCTGGAGAGTTCTGGTTTTGGCCGTGACGGTCTCCTTGATGTGTGTGGTCTCTCCACACTCCCCGTTTCGGCGCCGCTGGCGTGTGGGAGCAGCCCCAGTGAAATGGCCCATGCAGTTGCTGTGAAGAGAGGATTTTTTTTTTTTTTTTTTTTCCCTCAGGTCCTCTGCCAAACGCCTCCGACCATTGTTTCTGTCCTTGCCTCCCACCGTGGGTCTGGAACAAGGCACTGCCCTGGCGCCCCAGCTCTGATGCCAGCGTGCCCTCCTCCCACCAAAATCCCCCAATGAGGGGATGAACAGCAGCCTGCCCACAGTGCTGCCTCTTGCACCCGGGGCAGTTTGGGATGGACACACAGCCACTGCCTTGCTAAAAGCAATTGCTCTTTTTCTTCCATTTTTATTTTATTTTCTTTATTTTATTTTATTCTTAGCCGTCTCATGAGCAAGAGCTTGCTTTGGAGAGCGCTGGCTGTACAGTAGCTGTGTGTGTTCCTGCAGGGCGTTAGGTAGTTGGCAGTCCCCCCGTAAGGGGCCAGAAGTTTTGGACTAGAAGTAACTGTTGTGCATTAGTGCAGGGAGAGCAGCGTCATCTCCGTGGATCAGAAATGTGGATTTCTGGGAAAGGAGTGGGCCAGCTCCCTGAGCAGAACTTGGTCCATCAGGGGCAAGGTCGTCTCATCCCTCTCAGGAGCATCAACCATCACCAGAGATGAGAGATACAAGATGCTGATCTTCTTTTTTCACCTTTTTTTTTTTGTTTTGTTTTGTTTTTTTCTTCCCTTTAAACTGCTCTGAAAGAGCATTCCCTCTCACATAAAAACCCTGGGATATACAGCGTTTCCTCTCCTGTCAGCCACCAGCTGTTTTACACCTTTGAAAAGACAACTGGCCAAAATTTGATCCTCGTTCAGGTTGTGGTCCCAAGTCTGAGAATTTAGCTTTTTTGAGACCGTAACACCACCAGTACTGTTTTCCATCCCTTCCTGTACACAGTCCTGAAAGATATTCTTCAGATCTTGTAATTAAATTCAGAAGATTTAAGTACAAACTGGGGGGGGAAGGGGTGTGTGGCAGGGCGGGGAATAAATTGGTAGCATCAATCTATAAACCAACTCTCAAGGTAGCACACACTTAGTCTTGGACCTTTGGAGTGTCACCACATAAATATTTAATACTCTTTTAAAGCAGCTGATTTAACATGTGAAGTAGACTTAACAGTTCCTTCTGCTTCAGCCCCCTCTTTCCCAAACACATTTAAATAAACTGATGTCTTTGTGGCCTCTGCAACCATAATTCCATGTCTCCTGGGGGCACAAGTTTTAGGTGAAGAATGGAGACCACAGAGTCTTTTGGGACAAGGATTAGCTTTAATCTTGAGGTGATTCTTGCAGTTGTAGGACTCTGTGTTCTAGGGAATGTGAGCTGATGGATCATTCCTGATCGGACTCTTTATTTTTCTGTGAAATACGACCAATGCAAAACAGATTGACCTTGGAGCCCACAGGAGTCAGCGTGATGAAGAGCTTAGTTGGAGCTGGAGTGACAATTGGAAGCCAAATGAATCATATCAAGTGTGACCATTACAGGCCTGAAAATGATTCTTAATTAACCACTGATCCTCTGTGGTAGCAAGTTTCCAAAATCTGTGAATCCGTAAGGGAACCCGTGAAAATGTGCAAGTAGCAATTTACCTAATCTAATAGCTTTGCTGTGCTGCCTCTTTGACAACGCTTTATTTTCGTCTTGTTTCATGCTGTGTTAGAAGAGGTCCTCAGCATCCCGTCAGGTTTGGTGAAACCATTGAGAGGACAGTATTGCCTAATGTGCTGTACAGGAGATCTAAACTTGCGCAGGTCCTTACCCCAGACATTTGTTTTCTCCTTTTTTTCCAGTATTTCCCTTTGAATTTCAGTATCGTGCGCAAGTTGTTTATTATTTTAAAGGTGGCATGGATGGCTTTTTGTTTTTAACACTAACCAAGAAGGTGGTTATGTCTTATCCAGAGCACTAATTCCATCATAGTGTTGGCCATACTAGCTGTGTACTGTAGCTCACGTATAGTGTTTTGAGGAGAGTCATTCATTCTTCTGTGCTCTTTAACAGGCATGTCCAGGCATCCTCCAGCTCCTGATCTCCCTACCTTCTATCCCTTGTCTCCAGGGGGGGTTGGACAGATAACACCACCTCTTGGCTGGTAAGATCTTTTGGCTTCTTTTCAGAAAAAGGTGCATGTTCGCACCATTTGCTGTTGTTGAATCAGTCACAGCATTGCAAAATAAGAATGTCACTGCAGCAAGAAATTACTACGTTATTTTAGCTGAAAAGATCAAAAAATGTCCATCTTTGAAATGAATTGAATCTGGTTTTTGGACACGTACAGAAATTGAAGTGTGTAGATTTCACTTTGAAGTCTATATATTTCTTATGGCTCAGATTTGTGGCTCTTGGCATTTGGAAAGATATCAGGAAACAGTTCTCAAGGAATTAAATGTAAATTTGTAATAAACAAAATTGTAATTACTGAGGGGAGGGGAGGTAAGAAGGAACTTTGAGTTGTGTGTGTTTGGGTAGATCTTGAAACTGCACCTAAATGGGGAACAAACTTTTGTAGTCTGCTGATTTTTACAGTTTCTGTATGGAGAGAAGCCTCTGACACTGGGAGATTTTGCTGCTCATGCTAAGACTAGCACTCTCAGGATTTCTTTCTGCCACTCAGGGTGTCATTTTCCTTTCTGAGGAAATACATTGTATTTTCAGAGTAATTGATTTGGCAAGATGATTCATGTCTGCTTGGGGTAGATAGGTATTTGCCCTCAGTTCTGTCAGAGCAGGGAATAAGGAAACTCAGCAACAATTTCAATGCTTTAGAATCTGTATCTTGACTAATCTGTGCCCATGTGATGAGCGATGCAGATTTTTTTTATTTTTGTTTTTTAATGTGTCTATGGGAGGGAAACATGATCCAGATGAAAACAGGCAGAGAAGGTAGGGAGCAGAAGATGGTGAAATGCTGCACTGCTGTCAAATCTTTCAGGAAGTGCCACATGCCTTTTTGGAACAAATTATTATCAGATACCAAACTAAAATATGGAAGTATCTAACTGTTTTTTATTTATTGCCCCCCACACACACCTCCCCATTCTTTGCTGCTTGTCTGACTCCCCACCTCCACCACCACCACCACCAGGCAGTTCTGGCATGCATTTTCCAGATGTGGTCAATCATTTCTTCTGAATTGTTTCTCAATGCAGAGGCTGGGGGGAGGGAAGAGGGGAGAAAAGAAAGAAGAGGAGAGACAAGATCCGATCTTATAAGGCTTGGGGATGTGTTCAGCGGTGCTCACTGGCAGCGGGACATACCCAGCCATCCCTATACTATATGGCTTCCAGCTGCCTTCTGTGCCATAGCACTGCTGAGACTTCCTCCATGTTTGGGGTTGTTTGTTTGTTTGTTTTTTTTTTTTTTTTTTTTTTTTTTGTTTTTGTTTTTGTTTTTGTTTTTGTTTTTTATTATTTTATTTTTTTGTGTGTTTTTCTTTATTGTTGATTTGGTTTTTGTTCTCCCCCCCCCACTTTAGCACTGCTCATTTCCAGTAATGCACTCCGAATGTGAAACCTGTATCCTGAACCTTAAAAAGCCCTTTTTTTCCCCCCTCTGAAAGCTGATCTGCCAGTCTATAACTAGCTCTTTGAATAGGATTGATGTGTGTGATGGTCTTTGTGGGCTGGTTCAGGTATTTAGGCTGAACTGGTATTTGTTTGCATTACCACAGTATGCTATCTCAGGTTGTTAATTGTAGTCGTGACCTGAACCATTGCTAACTGAAAGTAATCAAAACATAGTGATGATGATAAAAACTAGAAAGTCCAAATGACAGGCTGGTGTCAAAATATTCTGTATATGCAGGAGTATAAAGGAGGTAAGAACTTCACTCAAGCTTCTCTTACTGGATCGCAAAGTTTGAACTATAAGTAGTTAAGAGGGTCTTGTGTGGCTGTGGGCTTTTAGGTGGTTGTGGGGTGGTTTTATTAAACAAACTTATACTTTCTCAGAAAAGCTGGCCACTTGTACCTCACTATAGAAGATGCAAATTGAGAGAGGCCTTAAGTTTTCAAGGACTTAATAAAACTGTTCAAAAGGGTTTCTAGCCTGACAATTCACAGTCTGGTGTTGTTGTGCTGATCTACAGTAGAACGATTTGGAATAAAATGCCTCTTTCCTACGAGCTAGTTAACCAAAACTGATTCCAGTGCTTTTAAAACTAGGTGAGAGAGGGACAGAGATAGAGGAGTGTGCATGTGTGTGTGTGTGTGTGCGCGCGCATGCATGTGTGCTTTGAGAGAGGCAGGCCGGCTGTTTTGCTCTCTTCTCGACTAGAAACCTAGATTGGGAATTTTTCAACAGCAAGGGAGAAAGTCCAAAGCATTCAAGTATCCGTTAGCTTTGAATACAGCAGAATTCTTGACAGTATTACCTATTACTATTTATTTGTGACTAGTACTGAGTTCCCATCAAGTGCTTGTAACTCTAGAGTAACTACTGAATACCGTATCATATGATTGATGGGTTCCTTTCTTCTGTGACCTCAGGCAAGGTCAGCCTGTATATCCCATCTCGAGTGGATTCAGGCAGCCCTATCCATCCTCACTCTCAGTCGACCCTTCCATGTCCAGGTAGGTGTAGGAGGTGAATGACTGACTGGGGAGTAACTGCTGGCATTAGAGGGCAAGTTGCTCTTCTGCTTGCATCTTGGTCTGCCTTTGCTTGCTTTTCAGTCAGCTAAAACTTTATGCGTACATTTTTATTTAACATATTTGTGTATATGCAGTTTGCCTGGATCCCACACTGGTCTCACTCAGCATTTTCTTGGCAGTCTCTGAAGTACTGCAATTAGGAGCACCAGTGAATTGTCAACAATTAATTGAGCTGTTTCATCTGAAATGAGTCGTTAGTTCATTTCTAGATGCAACATACAGTGTGCATCCTTGGGTTTTGCTCATGCAAGTATGCAACCAGGTGGATTGTCACTCTAGTCTGTGTTCTCTAGTTCCAATTTCAAAGTCGATGGTAATTAGCGTTGAATCATTTAGCTATCATTCTGTGTGGAAACTTGCTCACAAGTAGGTATTTCATAGCCCAAAGCCACTAATGGCGAGGGATGCCAGCACAGTGTATTTGTACTGGTGTGTGAATCAGGCACTGTGTCTTTATGTCTAAGTGCAAGCAAGCAATGCTAATTGAGACTTGGCCATGACACACTCCAGACCTCCTCTCCTCTGCTTTTGCACTCTAAAGACAGCTTCTGCATCCTGTGCTTGGTGTACACAAGGTTGCGATATACTGTTCTTGGGGTTTTTTTGTGTGGCCTGTAGAAGACACATCATCTTGCACGGGGATTTAAGACAGGCCATTCATTAAGTGGTGGTTCCTCTTGCCTCTATTTATGTGGGCTCTTTTGGATTATCACTGTCCCTTCACTTCTTTACAGGTGAATGATAAGCATGTGCCTGTCAGGGTGATTGGGAAGAAACCCCATTCTTTCTCCATAATAAAATGACCTGATTTGGGTTATAGGGTTTCGTGTTTGCTTTATTTTGATGGCACAGAGGAAAAGGGCAAGGGGTCTTAGAGAGTGGAGAAAGGAAAGGTTGGGTGTGATTGCTTAACAGGCACTCATTTAGAAAACCTTTGGAGCATGAGCTTGCTTTTGGTGTTAATGGTACTGTCCACCAGTTCAAAATAAAGCGTGCAGGTTTTCTGCTGCACTTGAGATTACAATGCTCAGCATCTTCAAGATCCATCTCAGCTATCCTTGAGGATATCCTGGGTTAGTAGGGTAGGATGACTGAGTTAGTGGTACTTTGGTTTTCTTTTCCATTTTCTTTCTTGTACAAATGAAAGGAAGGTTTATTTAGGACAAAAGTATTTATCATCTTTTTTTTTTTTTTTTTTCTCCCCCTTCTTCCAGGATGCAGGGGTTTTAAAATTTATTTTTATTTTAAGCACTTGAGGGAAGGCTAGTGAATTTAGATGAAGTGGTGTTAAAATCTTTTAGCTTAAATACCTTGAAAATTAAGAGATTCTTTACACGAGCAATCAGGGATTTCTTGAAAAGACTCTTCTTTTATTTTGTTTCTGCATGGCAGTTCCCTCCTTTGCATTGGCTGGTGGTGGATATTTTAAGAATGTTTATACCTTGGTGTGGAAATACAGTTTTTGGTTAATGTGTATTTTTATTGCTAGTCAGTACAACAGTACAACCATTAAATGTTTCTTGTGTGCATTGTTAAAACTGTTTGCCTGAAAGGTAATAAAATAACTTCTTTACAACCAAAATGTTGACTGATTTTTTCTGTTTGTTTGTTTGTTTGTTTTTTCTTGAATAAATGGGTTACAATGCACAAATCTTAGCCAAATATTTTTCATGCACTCTTAAAGAATTGCCTTCCGTTGTGAGCTCCATAGCATTTGCATTCTTGGGGCATCCCACTGCTGTCATACGTGTTTGATGCCCGTCTTCAGTAGGGTTACAGGTCTTCCTTTGTTTTCTCTTTTAGGTTTTCACATCACATGATTCCTGGTCCTCCAGGCCCTCACACAACTGGAATCCCTCACCCAGCTATTGTAACACCTCAAGTAAAACAAGAGCATCCGCACAACGACAGTGAGCTAATGCATGTGTGAGTCTGCCTTTCTGCACTAGCCCTTAATCTATAAATGTTTGAGAACTAACTCTATCTGAAGAAGAGTCACGGAGACTAAAACAAAAATTAAAAAGTGCCTTTCATGACCTCTTTGAATTTTAACTCTTCTCCTATAACTAAAATGGGAGATATGGGCTACTGCTTGGGAAGAATAATGAGACATGAAGCCATTTTTCTTTCCAGGGCAGCACTTTTTAGCTATCATCAGCAACAGACATCTTGATCCAGGCATAATCACGGACCTGTCTACCTGTGAATGTTGCTTGAGTATGAACTCATGAACTTTTGCTGGAAAAGCTCTTAACTGCAAAATTTACTAGTAAAAAACAGCATTATTGCTTAATACTTGAAGACAAAAGGCCTAGGAAAGAAGTGGTTGAGGGGCTATGCTCCTGCCTGTAGTAGTGGTCTTTAAGGGTACTATGGATAGCCTTTCAAAAAGAGAATTTAGACAACTGATGAATTTGCAGTAGATTCACAGATCAAGTGTTGCTTGCTAGAGAATGTCAACCTGACATCCTCCCTGAGTATTAAATTAAGTCAATTCTCTAAAAAGATGTGGAAGTGGATAGGACATGACCACTGAAATTCTCATTCTTACTACTTAAGTGCTATTGTAACCACAGGTTGGTAGTTTTCCACTGGATTTTTTTTAGGCTGAAGATAAATGGATGCTTTTTTTCCCTTCCTTTCCCTTTCTCCCACCACGTTTTAGGAAGCCTCAGCACGAACAGAGAAAAGAACAAGAGCCAAAAAGACCTCATATTAAGAAACCTCTGAATGCTTTCATGTTGTACATGAAAGAAATGAGAGCGAACGTTGTAGCAGAGTGTACTCTGAAAGAAAGCGCAGCTATCAACCAGATTCTTGGCAGAAGGGTATGTATGGGAGGGTGTGTGTATACTCATGTGTGCTGCTAATTTGTGTGTGTTTCCCTTTAGTTGGGTGTGATGGCTCACTTTCTGCTTGAGGTGCTAACTAATGTGCAACTATCAAATTAGCTATAGAAGATAAAACATGCAACTAAAAATAAAAGCAGTATCTTGATTTTCTTTTTTCAGCATTAGCAACATCGTCGAATTGGTGTCTGTTCCACTCATGTCATGGTGTCAGCACCTCAGGCATGAAATATCCTCATTCGCACATGGAAGGAGCATTCAAATCACCTTCTGGGTCCTTCCTTAGGCTGGCACCCGTCAGAGAATGAGGCTATCATTTAAAGATGAACACTGGATGCCAGTGGAGATGGAACTCAAAAGTCAATAAAATGTGGTCCAATTGTAAAGTCACGTAGGTTGGGAGGAACCTGTGGAGGTCGTTTAGACCAACATCTGATCAAAGCAGGTCCAGTTACATCACATCAGGTTGCTGAGGGCCTTGTCCAGTCAAGTTTTGAATGTCTCTCATCTCACTAGCTGAGCACTGATGATCCCAGTACATATCCCAGAGTCTTGCTGAGAGCCATCTGCTTCTGTGGCATTGTAGCCATGTTTTCGTTCTTTCCGTACTCCAAAAAAAAATTTGCAGGCCAACCCACAATTACAAGCTTCATGTTCAATGTCAGTGTTTTTCCAAGGAAATGCAGCAGAGGTACATGCCCATTTTGACTTCCACTGTCCTGGAAATGAGAAAAGGGACGACTTTTGTATCAATCTGAGTTTGTGTAGGGATTATTCAAATCCCCTTGCTCAGTGAACCTTTCTTCTTGACCACTGACTAAGTCAATATTGAGAGGCACTGTAACTCTCTGAAACTCTGTTCTCTGTTACAACACAAAGACTTTCCCCCGCCACCCCTCCACCCCGCCTCAGACAGAGCAGAAATCCATTGGTGCTTCTCCTAGTTCCTGCATGATGTTCTTGTTACCTCCTCTTAAAGGACATCTTGATGCTTGCCTTTTCCATTCTTTAAGGCAAGTGTCTAGAACCATGTTTTCATTCTCACTCCCTCAGTAATCGAACTTAGTTGCCTAGTATGTAAGCCTTGTTTTCTCAGACTGAATGAGGGCAGTGGCCTCTTTATCTCCATTTTGGTAACGGATCAAGCCTCAGTGGTCCACTGCCTGCTTTCTCCACAGCTTGGACTCCTCTTTTCAAGTTACCATTCTCCATGAAAGTACCTCAAATTCCACTTTTACTGTGATACAAACAGCTCACGAGTTATCCAATGGACTTGCTTGTTGATTAATTATCGTCAAATGTTTTGTGTTCAGTCATCCTGGTCACTATTTACTATGCCCTGTGCCACTCCGGAACAGGAATCATCTCTGTGCTCAGGAGCTGTCGCTTTGTGTGATGCTGGGCTCTCTAATGCCACGGCATAATGTGTACTACCTTCCAGTTTTGGAACACACGCGTGGAGTTTGACAGTTGCAAATAAGCTGAGCGGCTGTTCAGTAACACATCGAACTTACCAAGTCAAGACAGACAAACCCTTTAGTTCACATCTTCTGACTTGTAACAAAATGACATATTAAATCATACAAATATGGTCTGATCTGAAATCCTAGTTCTGTAAATAAATTATTCTTGCATGAGTGTCTTAATGATTTCATGTCTGTCTTCTTTTTTTTTTTTTTCCTCCTTAATATCTTCTCCTCTCGGCCCCCCCATGCATGTTGTCAAAGTCAAGCAGGAAGATGCATTTAATGCTGCAGTGATGAAACCTGATTCTGAATAAAAGGCCTTTACTCCTTTTGATTCAGGTCTATGATATGTGTTTCAACAAGAACAAAATAATTAGATACCAATGTAGCTGGTGCCTTTTCAAATGTGCAGATTGTGAGGGATTTTTTTTTTTAAGCAAGAAGTTTACCCTTCCTTCGCTGGAGTGGTTAACTCGTGTAATTTGGAAGACTACAGTTCTGTGGTTTCTGTATCTCAGGAACTTTTTGCAGTTGCTATTTTCCTCTGTTACAACCAGAAGAAATCAGAAAGCGGGTACCTTGAAGCTCAATACTTGGAGGTTGATCTTGGAACAGGAACCTGCTGGTGCCTAGGAAGCCCTCTGCACTGGCATTGAAAGCCCATGTGTAGCTGCTCCTTAAAACTAAGACAGCAAACTCTTCTGTGGTAGGGATCTCGCTGCCCTTTAAAAGCAGCACAAAACCTTTCTGTTTTGTCAGCAGCTAAAGGGTGGGGTTTTGCTGGGTTTTTTTTGGGGTGGTGTTGGTGTTACATGTGTTTTTTTTATTTAAGTAATGTTGGGAGAGCATGGTTCTGTGAGAACATTATTTGGTGAGCCTTGTTTGCATAAATGATTTTTGCCTTGCTCAAGGTACTTGGCAGTTGCAGAGGTGACAAATGCCTGAAAGTTGGTTAATAAACATGGGTGCTTGTAACTGTTAATGAATTTAATTTTTGCAGTGGGGAAGGACTGAATCAAAGTCACAAAAACACTTGCTCATGTCATCTGTTGCCTAGGTATGAGTTATTTCCTAGTCTAATGCTGTGTTTATTTTGTTTGCAGTGGCATGCTCTCTCCCGTGAAGAACAAGCAAAATATTATGAACTAGCTCGTAAAGAAAGGCAGCTACACATGCAGCTTTATCCAGGCTGGTCTGCAAGAGACAACTATGTAAGTTGCTCACTTGAAGGCTCTTTTCAAATCAAACTCCTTTACCTAACTTTTTTCTTTCCTTTCTTCTTTTTCTTTCTAACTTGTGGAAAGCTCTGGATGGAGGGATGGTGAACAACATATAACATAAAGCTTGTATTTGTTTGCACTTCAAGCATCTAGAAAACTTGAGATTTTGTTGTTGTTGAGATGCTTCTTATGAAGGTCACGGTTTCTGAGGGGAAAATATTAGCATGGAAAGTTTTTTTCCTAAGGCAATTGTCGGTACTGTCTGAAAGCTTATGTTCTACTGTACAGCTGTGAATTTTCCATAATTTTCTATTTGATCACTTGCTATCCAGAAGTCTTCTTTAGACCTGAGCAAAAAAGGGTTGTCTGTCTTTCAAGAGAATCCAAAGACTAGGAGTCTTAATGCAACCTAAACTTTAGCTGAAAGTAATTCAGAATGGCTCCTCTCCGAAATAAAGCATGAAAAATCTGTGGAAGTAAACTTCGTGATAGATTCTGCTTTTATACAGTTGGCAAAGCTAAAGAGTTTTCTTACAATTGCTCTTATTTTATAATTAAATATCAAACAAGTGTTAATAGCACATTGCACAGCTTGCACTGCACAATTATACTGTTGTGCTTACAATGAGCTGTCAGTGTAGTGATATGTTACGTTATGAAACTCGCAAGCTGCGATCCTGAGCGACTGACTGTAGCTTGAGATCTGGGCTCCTTTCTGTCCCCCCATCAGCTGTGACATTATGGACTGTGATAGGAAGTGTATAAGCTACATCTGGCTCAGTTTTCCATCTGTATTAGGTGGACAGTAGTATTTCTCTACTTCAGTGATGTCTTGTGGGCAGTAAGGAGTATAAGGCACCTACATACAGCGTTAACAGAAATTGTAGAAATACCTGGCATTTACAATCCAGCACAGCTACTGTTTAGCCTAAACAAAATTTTCGTTGTAAGCTAGAGCCTCTTTGGTGCAGAAGGCATTGACACAGAAACCATGTGATCATCTCCGAAGCAAATGCCCTGGTTTTGCTGACGTCTATGCCCAATTTCGTAAGCATAGACACTACTGTAAGCCCTATCAGCTTGTTTCTGCCTGTTTTATACAGTCATCTTTTCTAGTAGATGAGCTGTTGTGACCTTACACAGGTAGGATTTATTTCCAGTAACCAGATCGTGTCCACAGAGCTGTCTTGAAATATACCTGGGAACAAAGAGGGCCTTTGTGACATACCACCTTAAAACAAGGGGATTTCAATTGTCTTGAACTTACTTGCTGGAAAATCAAACCACTTTGGAGCCTTGCTAGCGTATGCTTACGGGACATCAGCCTTCAAGACCATCCTGTGATGTTCAGTCATCTTGACTTTGAGAACCTGATGTGTTTTGCCACAGCCTACTGCCATATATCACAAGCAGTGGACCTGCGGTTTCTTGAATGCCTTAGACATTCAGAGTGTGTAAGGTGGCACGTGTGATGTCTCTCTTTGATGTGCGTCCAACCTACATCCTGTGTAGAAGTATAGCTCTGACATACTCCAGTCCAGTGTTAAAATGGAGAACTCTGCTAGCTTCCTCTTGCAGTCCTCCTCTCTACCTCTTCAGGGATGCACACGTTTGTTGCAGCAGTGGTGAGAATGTGATTGTAGTAGATCACAGTTTATCACTGAAACCTTTTCAGGAGTGTGTCATCTTTTTTTTTTTGTTGTTGTTTTTTGTGATGAGGTGCATTGCTGTGAATTTCCGAGAGCCCTTGAAGTCCACTTTCCAACCCCTGGTCTTGGTCCCATCTTTGGGAGCTCACTCGCAAGGCACTGCCTGGCCCTGCTGCAAGCCTCAGGATAAATGAGGATAGGAGCTTAAGAGTCAGGCAAGCCCGTGGTGTCAGAGCAGACTGGCGACTACTCAAATTCATCTGCCGTAGTGTCACGGTAGCCTGTATTTGGGGCCCTCCCTTGCTGACCCTCAGTAAGCGCTGCAGTGGTTTGAGGTGGCTTCTCACGTTAAACCATCCATCCCATCGCCTCGCAGAGCTAGCTAACAGACAGACATGTCCCTACACCTCGGCCCTTCCAGTTTGTGGCCCCTGTGTGTGGCATGGGCTGTGCTGGGACACGTGCTGGTGGCTGCTGGCCGTCCTGAGTGGGGTAACCTCTGACTGGGGGGGCAGAAGGACAGACAGCGGGCTGCAGTCCCGCTTAGAGCCACTGCACTGAGGTTTGCCAGAGCTCATCTGTTAGAGCCTGGCCTGGCAGCTCGAAGGCTTCTTTAAAGTATAAGTGGCTATGACTCTTCCTTTTTTTTTTTTAAAAAAAAAAAAACCAAAAAAAACCCAAAAAAAACGAAAAACTTTGACTGACAATGCAGGACAATAAGGAGAAGTCATATGGAGGAATATCAAAGTGGTAATTAGGGTGATGGAAGATGACTGAGGTTTAAAATTGTGGGTCTAGAGTGACCTTTTGTTTCCTGAAAGACTGTGCGAACCGTGAGCTCTGTCCTTTTCCATAGATGGGGGTGTAGGAGAAGGCCGAGTGTGTGGGTTGGCACGCTGGTGCCACTGTGGTGTCCGAGACTGACATTTCTGCCTGGCACCTCGGCCGCATGAAGGGTGCTCTGCTGTACAGCAGTCTGCTCTTTGATTACTGCACAGCGTGTTCTCTGGGTGCAGCCGTACGAGACTTGGCTTTTGTTAAGGTACAAGTGTTCTCAGAACAGTTTTAGTTGGCTGGTTTGCACCTTGGGGACAAGTCACAGTTGTCCTAGGTACTTCCAACACCCTGTCTGCTGTTGCCATGTACGACAGTGTAAGTATCTGACTGTGTGAAGAGTTCTTGTAAGAGCCATAAATTATGATACCAACATATGCGTCATCAGATTATTAAGAGCGAGAAGTCTTTTAGATGCTTGCGGCTGCCAGCACTCATTGAAAAACTGCCAGAAATTGTAATTCCATGTGGCTATAAAAATGAGTATTGCTCATGTGCGTATTTCTCCATAAATGCTGAGAGCAAACCTTGTTACCATTGAAACAGTTAGAAATGGGTTAGAAAAGGTTTTAGCTACTCTGAAAACAATTGTGGGGTTTTTGCCTAACTGCTTTTTCAGTGTCCAGATGGTTTTCGTTTCTGTGCTGTGAGGTGGGGGAGTGATTAGAAGAGTTCTGTACATGTAATGGTATGGTGAAATTGCCTATTTTTCAGGGGAAGAAAAAGAAGAGGAAGAGAGAAAAGTTGCAGGAATCAGCATCAGGTAGGCCATGACTAACTCTTACTTACCACTCACCTCAGGTATATTTTAGAAACCAAGGCTTGCGCTATTTAATTTGTACATGCTTTTCTCTAACACTTGCTTCTGATAGATGTTTTAAGATACTTCACTTTGAATGCAGGCTTGTGAAAATGCACACAAGTCTCCTTTCCCTTACACCTTTCTGTACAGCAGTCCTGACTGCATCATCTTTGGCTGAATTTATGCATTGCTGCAATCACTGTCCTGCTTTACCTTTGCTTTTCTCCCGAATCGATGTTGTATCATCCTTAGACTTAACTATGACTCAAATACTGCGTGGGATTATTGGACACTGGAAACTTTACACTGACCTTTTTGTAGCCACTGTATATTTTATTGCTGTATTTTACATTTCTGTGTACACTAACAGCTGTCTAGTAGGTTGGCTAAAAGCATCAGTGAGGTCTCCTCTTTGCCTGTAAAATACACACAAAGAATCACCCTGTTTTCCCCAACAAAAATGGCTGGTATAAGAACCATAAAACCACCAAACAACAAAACCAAAAACACACAAAAAAAATCCATGTCATAATGTAGGAAACAAACTTATTTGGAATGTGCAAAAACACTGTAACAGAAATTTGTTAAAGGAAAACAATCTTCTACAGGTACAGGCCCCAGAATGACAGCTGCCTACATCTGAAGCATGGTAAGAACATCTCTAAAGCTTTCCTGATGATAAAACTGAGTTGTAAAATAAGCTTTCTTATAAATTTTATGCAATAATATGAATTTAGCAAAAATTGCAGAAGTATCATATCCCAAAGCTAATGTTACTTTGACTATCGATGGTTTTTATACCGGCTATCTATTAGGTGTTCACCATTTCACTTCTTAACCTTAATATTTTCCAATTGACCACACCTCACTGACTTGCTGCAAGTCAGCCTGTGAAGCACAGGGATGGGTTTATTAAGCAGTGCAAACCAGCCAGCAGACTGTCACAGTTCATAAGAGCAGGTTAGATGCTGCCTTTGGAGTACATTTTATGTGCTGACATCTACAAGATAATGGCTGGGTACACTTTTTAAAAATTTATTCACATGTATACTAACAAAACATCTGCAAAGAAAACAGGGCTGTGTTTCAGTTCCATCCATCATTTCTCCCTCAATGGTACAGTGGTATTTCATGTGTGGTGCGAGTTGTTTTTTTTTGTTGTTGTTGTATTTCCAGTGTGTGTTTTCTCTCTTCATATCGTATCGCCTGCACAGAAGGTAGAATGACTAGTGGTTACACATACCAAATAACACTGTCCAGTCTGCTTGTGAGTGCACACAGTAACACAGCAAGATGCTCGTTTCTCAGTGTTGATGTTGGAAGGCTGGTCCTTCTCTTCCTCTCGGTGTGATACATTTTCTAGTAGGAATGGCATTCATTTCATGTGATAGTTGGTTCTACACTGTCTAAAAAATAACACTTTTGAAACTCACCTAGGCATTATAACAAAAATGGGCTCTTTATCCCCTCTCTTTCTGCCTTGTTCAGCCACATAATCCCCTTGGCACTGAGTGGTCAGTCATCAGTATGATTCAAGCCTCTTCTGTAGTTTTGCCATTATGCTGGTTAGTCTAAACATGGTTGGGTTTAAGACTTTGGGTGTTTTTTTTAATAACTGAAACTAAGTGAAAAGGCAAAATGCCTGCTCTCTCTTTCTTCCTGCTAAGCAAAAGTTTTTCAGGCAAGCAGGCAGTCTTGCCATTTGCAATATGCCTGAGTCATGCTGATTTTAGATGTGGATTGCAGCATTTGGGTTCTGTAGCCTACACAACAAATGTAGCTGTAAAGTATCGTTAGTTACAGTGACTGCCATAAGCATTATACCTTTCATAAAACAAACAAAATAAAACAAAAGCAAGTGCTTTAACCTTGTGTTTTATAATTGATATTTCAGCTTAGTTGCCCAGGTCCATGACTGTTGTATTTTCCCCTCCAATGTTAACACAGTACCAGTAAGCAAAACATACATAATTTTATCTGAATTGACTCAGAGCACTGGATTGGGATTGGGCTACAATTAGGGTTCAAGTGGCAGTTAAAAACTGGGGGATATCTGATTTCTTGGAGGCCTTACAATCTAAGGATGACTGCCTTGCCTACACTGAACTGCTTTTGTTGAAGTTTCTTTCTTTGCATTTTCCACAGTTGGAGGATGAGTTGAAATAGAAGAGGAATGTGCTGAGTCTGTGGGTTTTTTCTCTTTCCCTTTTACCTCTACACCCCATTCCTTCCGTCCCCTTAAGCTCCATAACAGTGTGGAAACTGTTGGTAATACCTGTCTCACTGTCCTCGTGCAATTTGTGACATGGAGTATGAGAACAGTAGATACCTTCTTCCACTGAAGGTGGAGTGTGCTATTGACTCCATCCATATATGCGCATGTAGGCAGCCTCACTAAATGTTGCGTGCCGAGTACATGCTCGCCACCAGAGATGTACAGATGTGCTCTAGCTCGAAGTAAATGCACAGAATGATTTAGGGAACCTGAATCATCCAGACTTCAAAGTAAACTTCTGAAGGTTAAGACTCTTGCCCTTTGCAAGCCTAATCCAAAGAATGTTTTGCCCACAAGCATAATATCTTACCAGGCCCACAGCAGAGCTGTTGTAGTCTTTACTGGATGAAGATAATAAGTTTGGGAATGCCTTTCAGTGAGTGCCGCAAAGAGCTCTTGAAGACAGGAAAACACTAGCTTTCTTACTCGTGCGGATGGTGCAAGGAAGAGGGGGAAGGAGGGTGGGAGGTCTGGGAAGGAGACAAGCGTTCTGTTATCTGAGAAGAATCAGAAATGAGTAGGTGGCAAGACCAAAGAAAGAATCTCAAGATCAGCGCAAAGGAGATCAGCCAGGGCTGTAATTACGGTGATGTAAGTGAGAAGGATGAAATGGTGGGAGGGCTGTGTGGTGGGATGTTCAGAGGAAAGTAACGGAAGAGACACGCAAACAGAAATGATTTAAGATACTGTGAGAGGTTTGGGTGTGTTTTTTTTTTAATCCATGAACACTTCAGCACATAACTGATTTTTAAGGTGGACCTCTAACGTGCTTTTTGGCTTGGACATCATTTGAGTGGTGAAGTCGAGGTCGTAGCGTTGCTTCTCTTTCTGGGGTTGTAGACAGCAGCAGGCTGCTTACAGCTTCACTGCTTAGGATTTCGCTGAGTTCTGCAGTCTCCTCCAGCCAGCTGAATGGCCGATTGGTAAAACACTTTAATATTAAAGTGCTTTAGGAATACTGTGACCTGGTACTCCAGTCTTTGCTAAATTATCCTGGGATTTTCCAAAGCATATTGCCATTCTTTGAGAGTTGTGGAACTGTCCCCAGGCAGGATTTTGTTTTCAGTTGACATGGCCCAACACAATCTGTGAAATAACTTCTTCTACTTGTTGAAGAAATAACTCGTATTTATTCTCTCCTTTTAAAATCAACTGATAGTGGCATAAGACCTGATAATGCTAAAAATGATTTTGGGAGGGGCCAGGAGGGGAGGGGAAATTAGGAGAGATAAGATTAAGAACCATGTAGCGATCATCTGTTAAGGACCTTTCAGAAAGGTGGGTGTTTCCTTGTACTTTAAGCACAACTAGAAGACTTGTAACTGGGAGCAATTCTGTGTTGGAAGTAAAGATTCCTCACTTCTTATCTGATTTGACTTTCGGAAGGAAAAAAGGCTGATTTTTAGCATCTTATGAATATTTTTAAATCAGCAAGGAAACAGAAGGATACTAATGAAAATTCCTTCTGATTGTTCCGCAACATGGAAATAGTTAACTTCTTATGACTTGCTATGTACAGTAATTGTAAAAGGCACATCATTTGACATAGGGCAGGATGCATTTGGGAAGTCCTCACAAGCTCCATAATTTAACACTGTGTTTTGGCATATCTTCAACGGCTAAAAAATGTGATAGAAAAGCTTAACAGACATTCGAAAACCCGTCAGAAGTATATTTGTGGCTTGCAAAATTCCATGACAATTAGCATTTAGATTAGCAAAGCTTTCAAAAATGAGAAAACTTAGCTAGTGCTGATTTACAATCAGAAGCACTTAAAAGGATCAGATTAAGACTGTTTAAACAATGAATTTTATATAACTTTCAAGCTTCCTACATGGAAATTAGAGCCAAATTTTGGTGCAGAAGTGATTTTTGGATAGTGTTGTAGCAAACAGTCAATGACTGGATTATCTTTTCCATAATACTAAGAAATGAAATGGAGTGAGGTTGTGAAAGCCGACAATAAAGTGGACCAATCTACAGCCAGAATACTGTGGAAAAGAACTGTCTGATGACTGTGGTCATGGTTGACCATGGGCTCCTGGCCAGCATCCTGGAGACGCAAAGAGGATGTCGTACCTTTCTTTCTGAGGCACATGTTCTCTAACCTGGCTTGCCCAGTGCTCTTGAAATTGCTGCAGTAGTTGAAACAAACACTCTACCCCTTTCCATACCCCTTGACTGCTCAGAAGCTTTAAACAGAGCCTGGAGGATTTGCACAAAAGTTAATGTGTGTGAGAATTTGTGTGATGATGGTGGTGCAGAGCCATGTCCTGATTTGCTTTAGAAATTATGTTTCCTGTGTGACCCATGTTTCCCTGTTCCTCATTTTGCCTATAAACAGTGGCCTTCACCGTAGGCAAGAGGGACGGAACAAACAGAAGAGAATTTGCTGGATTAAAACATTGATATTATTGAACACTTTGGTTAACTTTAGCCTTTTTCAGATAGGCATAGAAATTCCCAAAGACAAAGGGTACAGCCCTCAGACAGATCCCCTCCTGCAACTTAATTCTGACCTGATGTTGATCGCACCAGGGCGAAAGATAGAAAATCTCCTCTCTTTCAGGCGCTCTGACATGAAGGAAGGAAGGAAGGAAGGAAGGAAGGAAGGGTATATAAAGCTATTTTGGGTGCAATCAGAGACTATGTGAGGGATAAGGGTAGGTTAGGGTAGAGGCCAAGC